ATGTTCCGACGGACTTCCGGCAAGCTCTTGGACTTCACGATGATCTTCTTGGCGAGTTCCGATGAGCTTCTTTGGCAAGCTCCTAGACTTCTTGGTTGGTTCCGGCAGAACTTTCGATGAACGTCCGGACTTCCGATGAACTCTCGAACTCCCAACGAAGTCACATTCTTGACTCCGGGACTTCATTTTATTTTATGTCTTGCTATCATAGTTAATCCTGCATACACAAAAATACACTTCGATCTAGACAATTATTACTAAGCATGAATCATATTGTCCAGCATATCATTGGTCCATCGACGCTTCATCCGATTCTTCAGCCCATCATCCTCTCTTGCGGCCTATTGCCCAATTGGCCAGTTGACCTTCACAACTCTGATATCCTTGGTGCAATATCCGCTCTTCGTGGCCCGATGCTTGAAGCCTTCTATCGATACGTCGACCGATCCTCCGGCCCAACGTCCAATCTTAAACACTTATCAATCTTCTGACACGTTTTCCTCCAGCCCAATATGATTCTTCCTGCTTTAATTGTCTCTCCCTGATCGAAGCATCCTACGTCACTCAAAACGCAGATTAAATCATAAACACTTATCAATTAGTTTCATCATCAAAATCTAAGATTCAACAAAGACCACATTGTTTATTAAATATTTTAAAAATAATTTTTTTATTATTTAAATTTATGTTGATGATATTATTTTTGATTCTATGTTTGGGTCTTTATGTGAATCTTTTACTAATAGCATGAGCCAATAATTTAAAATTAGTTTAATGGGTAAATTAACTTTTTTCTTATGATTATAAATTAAACAACTTAGTGATGAAACCTTTATTAGTCAAACTAAGTATGTTTTAGATCTATTAGAACGATTTAATATGGATAGTGCTAAGGCTATTAATACACCAATAAGCACTTCTATAAAATTAGATATGGACATTGATGGAGAATGTTTTGATCAAAAAATTTATAGGGGTATGATAAGTAGTTTACTATACTTCACAACAACTAGACCTGATATTATATTTAGTGTTAGAGTTTATGCTAGATTTCAATCTAATCCCAAGTAATCTCACTTTAAAGTTGTTAAAAAGATTTTTAGATACCAAAAAGGAATTCCTAATCTAGGATTATGGTATCCAAAATGTAAATTTTTTTAATTAATTACTTATGCCGATGCTGACTTTGGTGGATGTAGAATAAATAGAAAATCGAAATATGGAACATATCAACTCTTAGGTCATTCACTTATTTCTTGGACTTCCAAGAAATAAACTTCGATTGTATTATCTACGGTCGAGACTGAATATATAGCAATAGGTGCATATTGTGCATAAGTTATTTGGATGAAAATTATTTTAGAAGATTATAAAATTTATTTAAAAAATATCTCTTAAAATATGATAATACTAGTGTTATTTGTTTAACAAAAAATTTCATTCAACACTCGAGAACTAAACATATTGATTTTAAGCATCATTTTATTAGAGATCATATTAATAACCATGATATATCTCTAGAATTTATTGATACAAAATATTAATTAGTTGATATTTTTACAAAACCATTGAATGAGAAATAATTTGATTTTATCATAAGATAATTAGGCATGTTAAATTTTTCTAATACATGAATTCCACTTATACATTTTTCAGATTTCTCGATTTTTCATAACTTAAGAGTTTTCTTTTTAAATCGAGATCGTTTCCTATTATTCCTTCTTCTTGCTATTTGCAAAAGAAGATATTTGATTCATGGACTTTTGGTATTCACAATTTGATCTTTTATTTTTCATGTGATTATCATGAATCCTTCCTCTTTCTATTTGCAAAAGTAAAGCTTTAATTCATGGCCTTTCGAATTTATGACTTAGATCTTCCATTTGTTCATGTAATGATTGAAATTTTTATACCATTGAATTTTTTTCCTCTTTTTTTTTTATATAATGACAAAGGGGAGAAAGAGAAGTGCTATCTCGCATATCTCAATAGAAGCAAAGTGTTAGCTTACGCATCTCAAGAAGCAAAACTTGCAAACTTGTACATCTCAAAAGAGAATTACTAGCTTGCACATTTCAAGTAGAAGCAAATATTGTTAACATTCACATCTCTAAAACTTGCTAGTTTGTATATTCTAAAGTGACGATATATGCATTGATGTTTCAAAAACTTAAAATTATGCAATGATATATGCAATGATTTCAAATTATATTTCAAAAACATGCTAGTTGCACTTTTCTCCTTTTTGTTGATGACAAAGGGAGAGAAATAATGATGATTTGAAACATTTTATATTTTGGTATCATGTATGACCTAAGTAATAATGATTTAAAAATTTATTGTTTTGGTATTATGCCCAAAGTGATGATGATTTGTAATGGTTTAGAATTATGGATGTTATACCTTTATGACTTGAAACTATGTTTAAATGATGGTGCACAAAGTATAAAATTTTGATATGATATGTTACATATGATCAAAATTGTTTCACTTGAATTCAAAGGTTATTATTTCTTTTGAATTCAAGTTTACTTTATTTTGATATAGCATATAGGTAGGGGGAGTTAAGGTTAACTCCATTATCAATTAGTTGTCATTATAAGAAAAGGGGAGATTGTTGAATCAATTTTGATGATGAAATCAATTAATGAGTTTACGATCTAATCTATGTTTTGAAAAAAGCGATACAGGACTAACCACGATCATGAAAAGACAAAACAATTAAAGCAAGAAGAATTATATATTAGGTTAGAGTCAGAAAACAAGCATTGGGTCAGAAGAATCAGACATTGCACTAAGATCAGATGTTGCAGGAATTAACATATCGATAGCTCGGGCAATACGCCGAAGGTTCGGATGATGCACCGGAAGTTTGTAGGAAGTTCACCAGAAGTTCGTCGGGAGTTTGAATGGACAAACGACATGCCAAACAATTGAGATTGCATGTATTGTAATTGTTTAAATCTTAATTATTAGGTTTTAATTTGAGTTAGTTTTGGGAGTAATCCTACTAACTCAAATAGGGGCCAATTGGGCCTATTGTTTGACTGATTCAGTGACTTGGAGCTACATCAAGCGGTGGCACCACTAGGGCTAGCAGTGGAACCGCTTAAGACTCGGCCTCCCAGAACTTGTTTAGACTGTGGTACCGCCCAGACTAGGCGGTAGTACCATCGATAGTTAATGCTGTCAGGCGGTGGTACTGATAGATCTTAGTCTCTAAGGCTCTATCAAGAGGTCGTACCGCTCAAACTAGCGATAATACTACCAATTGTTAGGGGAGCAGGCGATGGTACCGCCCAATACTAGTGGTAGTACCACTAGTTGTTATGGGAGCAAGCGATGGTACCGCCTAGTACTAGCGGTGGTACCATAAATACCCTATAAACCCGGGATTAAGAAACTCTTTTGCTCCATTTTTGAAGTCATTTAGGGCCTATAAATATCCAACACTTTCCTGCTTGACAAAGCATGAAAAGTGAATAAAAAGCTTTGAGATTCTGAGTTGTAAAAGTCTTGAAAAAATGCTATGTATCATCCTCTTTCATAAGATTTGTGATCATTCTAAAAGAGATATGAGACTTGTAAAGGTTGTCTCTTAAACCTATGGAAAGGAGAAAATGTTGATCTTTATCTATTGAAAGAAAATCGATATTAGAAGTCGGTAGCCTCGACGGAGAAAGAACCGAGAGTATATATTGGTCATGACGATCGAACCACTATAAATTCGATGTGCTTTTTTCTTTTATTGTTTACTTTCATTACCTTCTTATTTAACTGTCTACTAATTTTGCATGCATTCTTACGAATATTTTTAAGTTTAAACGTATTTTCGTTACGGGTCGAATGTAATATTTTAAAATCATTGAAAGTTTACAATAGCACTAATTTATCCCTCCCTCTTAGTATATCCTAACAATAAAAAAAGTTGACAACTAATTCATTAAGATCATATGCTTACAAACAGATTTCTAGGAAAGAGAATAGGGAAAAAAAAATGGTGTGTAGCCAGATAGTATAATCAATAAAATATGATAGTTAAAATAGGAGATGTATATGTGTATTACGTGTCATTTCATGGTAATCTCTCAGATATGATGATTATTAATGTTTGGGGACATATTTTATTCTGATGATTAAATCGTTTTAAGTACAACGAAAGCATCCAGATTTTTTTATTTGATTATTGAAATTATTTTAAGTAATTTACTAAATAAAGTTCACCATAATTTTTTTTTATCATATAGGCCTCATAATTATTCTTACCTGAGGTATTTTTTTTAATATCAATTTTATCCTTTCAAAATTTTTGAATCGATTCGGATCAAATCTACAAACCCTCCTTCACTCACTCTGTCCTCCCTCTCCTTCTTTTCCGCCACCATTATGATTTAAATTAGATTAGACTATTTCAACAGAAAATAAAAATAAAAAAGACTATAATATCTATCTATCTTGATTCTAATATCATTCAACATAAATAGAGTGATTGTTTTCATCCAAATAAGAAAAAAAAATACTCATAACTAAAATAATTATGAGATCATCCCATAAAAAATCAATGATGAAAGTTTTTTCAATAAATTATTCAAATATTTTTTAGATTATTTTTTAATAATATTATAGATATATTCAAGTATTATAATTAATAGAAATATCTGAGGAGATATTCTAGCAGATAAAGTCAGCATTTGCATATTGTGTAATTTTTTTTTTATAATATTTCTCTCGGGATGTATTTTACAAACAGGTCATCAATTAAAAGCCTGCTGAACACATCAATCGTTGAATCAAGAAGCTATACTCAAAGGTCAATGGAAATCAAAGTTACTTTTTCGATACCCCCAATGATGCCATCCCCCTACATGGCTTTGATACTCGTCGACGTTACGCACGGGTCCACGTTTCATCATTTTGCCTTGCTGGGGTCCCACCCTCATCGATCGGTTCTCTGCGCACGTTAAGGTTGTGCGTGGGGGATCATTTTCCCCGAACGCCGGCCGTGCGCTCACGCACTAATGCCATCCCCTTCCAAACGAGCCCCCTTTTCGCCGCCTGTCATTCCAATAAAAGAAGCGCTCCTCCTTTCACGATCCGCGGGTGTCGACGATTCTTGGGATCCTCGCAGGCAACCGGACTCTCTCGCTTCGCAAAAGGGCGTGGACATGGCTCCTTGCGATCCAGATTAGTTCGTCTTCCCTCCGGTTGCTTGGTTTTCTTAGTGCCGTGATCTGGGGTCAGGCCCAGGGGATTCTGTGCTCAAGGAAGGAGATTTTCTGGTCATTGTGATCGATTTCTTGTCTGGTTTTGCATAAAGTTTTGTTCTTTTTGTGATTTTCCTGTGATTGCTGAGCGCTAGGGTTTGGATTTTGGCTTCCAAGTATAAACATTTGAAGGACAAGAGGGTTGGTTATGTTTCAGATGGTTGGTTGGATTGGTGTGAAGAAGCCAGTAGGAGCTGCAAGAAATGTGGAATCTTTATGTGATTCCCTTTGGCTTCTGAATGTTTTGTGGAATTACTGATAAGTGTTAAGTCTAACGAGGACCGAATTGGACAAAATTGATTGGGGACTTCGCTGCTGAATGATGCGATATGGAGGGAAACTTAAATGCTGGAAGCATGATGTCGGGAGCTTCGTATGGTGTGCTGGCTTTGCAAGGAAACATGTACATGCATCAGGGCTCGATGATCCATCACCCACCGGTGTGTGACGCCTTCGGTGTATCAGGCAGCCACTTGCAGGAATCTGATCACCGAGAAGGTGTTTCCATCATGGACTACCATAAAGGAGAGCGTGGCAGGACCTCAATGAGCGATGACGATGAGCCAATCTTGACCGAGGATGGAGTCGATGCTCAAAATGAGGCTGGCAGAGAGAAGAAGGGCTGTCCGTGGCAGCGAATGAAGTGGACTGATGCAATGGTTAGGCTTTTGATAACTGCGGTCTCTTACGTAGGAGAAGATGCTCCTTCTGAGTGTGGTGGGAGGAGGAAGTATGCAATATTGCAGAAAAAGGGGAAGTGGAAGGCCATATCAAAAGTTATGGCCGAGAGGAGATGTTATGTGTCACCTCAACAATGTGAAGATAAATTCAATGATCTTAATAAGAGATACAAGAGGCTCACCGATATCCTTGGTAGGGGTACATCTTGCAAGGTGGTTGAGAATCCGGCACTTTTGGACCGTATGAGTAATCTCTCAGAAAAGATGAAGGATGATGTGAGGAAGATTTTGAGCTCAAAACATCTTTTCTATGAGGAGATGTGCTCCTATCATAATTGTAACCGGTTGAATCTACCTGCTGACCCAGCTCTTCAACGATCGTTGCAGTTGGCACTTGGAAGTAGAGATGAGCATGACAGAAGGAGAGGCTCACATGAAGATGTTGATGAAGATGATCAAAGTGCTGACGGTGATGACGAGGATGGTGATGCTGAAGAACATAATGTGCACGGGAATATGGTGGCATCATGCTTCCCAAAAAGGATGAGGCATGGGGTGAACCATGAAGAAGCGGTTTTTGGTGACACATCTGCTTTACAAAATTCTACTAGAAGCCTTCAACCTCAAGGCTTAACCTTAGATATGAACCAAGTATTTTCAGAAGGATCTAAATCAACACTGATACAGCAGCACTGGGTTAATTATCCGCTTCAGCTCGAGGAGAAGAAATTGCATATTCAGGCTCAGATGCTGGAGCTCGAAAAACAACGCTACAAGTGGCAAAGGTTTAGTAAGAAGAAAGACAGAGAACTAAATATGATGAGAATGGAAAATGAACGAATGAAGATTGAGAATGAACGCCTATCCCTTGAATTAAGGCAGAAGGAAATGGAGTTGGATCTTACTTCAATGAAAACACAGTGATGCAAGATTATTTGAAGGAAGCCATGGAAGTATCAGTATGGTAAGCTTTGCTGATTCGAGGAAGTAGCTAATGATAAGCTTTGCTAGTCAATGGTTACTGCAGTCCTGGAGATCGAATGAGTTTATGACTCATTCTTTTTCTCTGTCTACTTTTCCTTGTAAAGATGATCGGTAGCTTTTCTCAGGGTTGCCAGTTCTTGACTATTATAAGTATGATAATGGTTTCTGTTGAAGATGATTTTCTCTTCTAGTGCAGGTGCAAAAGTATTTGTGTTCACTAAGAGGAACTGCATAATTATATTTTGAAAGTTACTCTTTAAACATTGGCCTGTGTCTGGTGGTGGTGGTGTCAGATTCACTTGCCAAAGGCTGGAAGTTTAAAACCTCAATTGACATTTTTTGTTTTTTCTTACCCTTTTGCCAAAAAAAAATTTTATTTTTTGAAAGTTTACATACACATCAGAATTGTTTAGAGTGATATGTTAATTACAGAAACACAGGTTGAGTATGAGACGCCAGAAATGTTTTTTTTTTTTCCATATGAGTTATCAAGTAAACAGGAATGTGAATGTCTCTCACTTTTGGTTCGGTGAATTTTGTGTCAATTTATAATAATTGACCGTAAGCTGAATGAGCTCTTCTTGCTTAAAACTTGATTCTTCTTTTCTGGCTTATTTGAGGGCTATTGTGTTTGTTTGTTCATGGTACTCCAAGCATTTCTTATCGTTTTAATATTTTTATCATATAGTAGATTGGAACCTAAGTTCTCATAGTTGTCCAAGATCCAATTTAAAGCATTTATTGTACTTTTTTTTTAAAACTGACTTGTGTTTTCTCATCATACTTTGATAAGTTAGGTCTTATTATATATTTATTCTTCAATATATTTGTTTGACTTCTCAAGTCTTTAAATTCTCAAGTATCAACTAGCAGGATTTTGGCCTGATGTTGTAGATGTTTGTGATTAAATTAAATGGGGGAAAATTTTAGTTTTAACACATATAATAGGGAAAGGCAAAAATACAACTTATGTGATAGAAGTATATCCCTGGTTAAATATTTGATGAATTAAAATATGATGGCAAATGACCTTCCACAGGAGTATCAGGTGAGATGGCAAAGTTAAAAAGTACCATTGACGAGAGACATGTCTGAGCCCAGTAAGATTGAAACTTGATCTCATGGTTAGATTGTTCCTTTTCAAATAAAAAAAAACAATTGTTTTGGTCCTTTGCATGTGTCAAAGTTGTCTATATTGTGACCTTATGCAGACCCATATTAGTAGGAACTTATTATATTTATTGATTCTTATTTTTGAGTTCTTCTACAGTTGATGTGAAAATAGTATATCCATTTAGTTTGGCTGAAATCAATCCCTTTTTTTTTTATGATATGGATTTCATATTAAGATCTCATTAGATAAGAGATCTGCTTCCTATTTTTCCTAGTAAACTAAAAGCCTTAAGCCAACCTATATAAGAGTTAGTATTTGGGACAACTTATGTTACTCTTAAGCGTGTTAGTTAACTTAAAAGAGTTAGTATTTAATGTGCCAATTAACTTAATAAGATCTTGATAGTTTATCGGAAGGTTCGAGACTCAAACATCATTTTTATCATTTATCCTTTATAAAAAAAATAATTTAAACAAACTTTGTAAGACAATAATCTTTCAATGTTTTTTTGGAGAGGCAATTCGCCTCCAAATTCTTTGTACGAAGATTTGATCATCTAAAGTAATTTTCTTTTTTAAGTTAGTACTAAATCTTCGATTGAATGAGGTTATGGGTAGAGCCTAAGCTACGTGAGCATGCTTGTTCCTCGCTTGATGCTTTATACAACCCATTAATGCTTTAGCACATGATTCCCATTAATCACAGCAGTGTAACCACAAATTGAATTAAAAGGTTGAAGAAGAAGAAATGTTTGACAAACGCAATCTTCCCCCTACGTATATGTACATATACATATACATATATTGCTTAATCACTAGAAATAATGAAAGTTGGAGGATTCAAAATTTTCAGTTCATCCTTCAAAGGTAGTAATCAGAAATTAATAGCTGCAGCATATGGATCTCAAGGTTGTATTATAATGCTGAAGGTTTTAAATCCTTCAGCATTCAGACAATCGAATTCCGACGGTAACAAATGAGACCCATCTTTCAAGGAATACAACGCATATAACGAACAGATAAATCAACAAATGCATGTTTTTTGTAGAACTCGCAATGTCATCAAATTTCTCTGTATAATTTCCAATACTAGTCCTAATTGACTCGTCTAGTAGACACCCTAGCTTGACTTCAGGCTCTTGCAGAGTGTTTTGTATGCTTCCACGCAGAGCTTGAATTTTTCCTCTGCTACTGCCTGCAGTAAAAGAAGAGGCTTATTAAACATGTGATGTCAAGAAAAATGGCCAGTTACACAGCCGAGCAGGTGCAGCATGACATGCCATTGCACAAATAAGACGTTAAAGAACTTTATGGAGGAAACATATCAAGCCTAGAATGGACATCAGCTGCTTGGCTAAAGCACATTAATAATCCGCTCCTTCAAACATTAACTCAGATAAAAAACTCTCCCTCTCAATTCAAAAGGCAAATTCAAGACTGTTGCATGGTTGCAGCAGGATTAAGTGTGACACCATGTCAAACTGGGTTCACTTTTTCTCTCTGTCATTAGCACTAAATTGTAGAGTAAGACTTGGAAATCTTGCTATTGAAAAAATGTAAAAGAAATCTACCTCATGAGTACAGGTATAAAGGACATGAATTGGGCATACACCTCAGAACACAGCAAAGCCATTAGTTGGCAACCAAAATTCAATACAAGAAATAGGTTCCATTCCTTCCTTTTGGGTATTGAGCGGATAAGTAAATTGGTAAAGGAAACAAACCACAGAAGAAAATCAAACCCAAGGAGAAGATATAGTGGGCCAAGATAGTAGATATACTAATTCAAAGACGGTCACAATTGGGCCAAATCGAGCTTTGCTTTCTACAAGCTTGACTAGATTTATATTAGGGGAGCTCAAGCTCAGCTCCATACTTGAGTCAAGCTAGAAATAATGTTCGAGCTAGACAACTATAGTGTTTATAGGCTCAAGCTTGGTTTAAGTTCAGTTCACCACAAATTTATTTAAGGCAGTAGGTTTACATGTTAGATGTTAGGGTTAAGGTTCATTTTAACCTCTATGGTTTTGGTCATGGACTTCTTAAGCCCTTATGGTTTACTCATGCCTAAAATAATTCTTACATTTTCAAAAAATGTAACATATAAGCCCCTCCTATCAAGTTTGAGTTAACAGACGTTAGAATCTACTTACATGACATACTAACTCACAATAAATTATTAATATAATGACACGTGTAATTTAGGATTAAAGTCCATTTTAGACCCTGTAGGTCCATTTTAGACCTCATGGTTTTGACCATAGACCTTTTAAACCCTTATGGTTTACTCGTGTCTAAAATAACTCTTACATTTTCGAAAACATAATATATAAGCCCCTCCTATCAAGATTGAGTTAACAGACGTTAGAGTTTGCTTACGTGACATGCTGACTTACAAAAAATCATTAATATTACACGTGTAATTTAAGTTTTTTAAAAAATTAAGACATCTATCAATGGCGGGAGGAGACGTCATCATAAAAGCGACCACCAGCAACAGCACCGAGCGGCTGCTGCCTAGCAAGGCGTCATACGCACACAGCCTCTCCCGCGTTGAGCTTAGGAGTTTCCGAATGTCACTCGCCAGCTCCAGGGCGCATGCCACCACGGCGCTGCCCGCCATCGCGAACAACACCTGCTCCAATCCCGATGAGTACCACCATACCTTGTAAGCCACCTCCCCTGCGAAGCATGGCATCACGAAGACAGAGAGCATGCGAAAGGGTTGAGCTGGTCCATGAAGCCCTCCCGCTCCCGCTCGCTCTCCCTGACAAGCTTGTCGAGGAAGCAAAAGCGACAAAAGTCGTAGCGATGGACGAAGGCGGAGAGGCAGAGGTAAGAGAGACCGAAAGCAGAGGTGAGGGAGAGTTGGACCACCATATCGTAGGCACGGTGGCGGTGGGGGCGCAGGAGAGGCTGAAGTGGGAGGTGGTGGGGACAAAAACGCCCAGGAGGAAAAGGGACCAAGAGACCACTGTGTGCTTAGCGTCGGATTGATCGACGCACATCCACTTGAGGCAGGACCAGAAACTCCTGAGCTCATCATCAGCGCGAGAGAGGCTGCATGCATACAACGCCCTGCGAGGCAATAGTAGCTTGATGCTATTACTGGTGGTCGCTTTCACGATGACGCCTCCTCCCGCCATTGATAAAGGTCTCAGTTTTCTTTTAACTTAAATTACACGTGTTATTATATTAATAGTTTATTATGAGTCAGCATACCACGTAAGTAGACTCTAACATCTATTAACTCAAATTTGACGGGAGGAGCTAATATGCTATATTTTTTTAAATGTATAGATTATTTTAGACACAAGTAAACCATAAGGGCTTAAGAGGTCCATGACCAAAACCACAAGGGCTAAAATGGACCTTAACCATAAATTATACGTGTCATTATATTAATAGTTTATTATGAATTAGCATACTATGTAAGCAAACTCTAACATCTGTTAACTCAAACTTGACGGGAGGGGTTTATATACTACGTTTTTAAAAACGTAAAGGTTATTTTAGACACGAGCAAACCATAAGAGCTTAAGAGGTACACGACCAAAACCACAGGAGCTAAAATAAACCTTAACCTAGATGTTACAAGTTTAGTTTTCACAAAATTAATTTTGGTCTCATTTTTTAAGAGTATTGGATTCATCCACTTTGATACTTAATGGAGTCAATTTTTAGTCTCAGATTGTAAAAGAGTATTCTTGTGATCACTCATCTACCCATGATTGGAAGTTATGAACTTGTCCTTGAAATTTTTCATTAACAAATGAGCTCGTTCAAGAATCAATAAGTGGGATTGTTCACGACAAGGATTGAAATATCGTACCATACCGGAGTTTCGACATTCGCTCGGTACGGTATAGTATGGTACGATACTGTATACCGAGCGGTATACCGTTCGATATATATATATATATATATATAAAACAAAAATTCGACGACGTCGCCTCTCTTCTCCCCACCGAGGTGACGTCGTAGAAAAACGAGGCGACATCGCCTCCGCAACATCACCTATATATATATATATATAAATATTTTTATAAAAGACGATGTCGCCCCATGTGGGAGAAG